AATGTGATTAGAGGGTTGGAACTTTCAGCCCCAAACCCTACAGGACCTCTGGGGAAGGAAGAGGAACTAGAGGCAGAATCGATCCCCAGTGGTCAATGATTTAATCAGCCATGCCTGTAATGAAGCCTCCATTAAAAATCCAAGAGGATGGGGTTCAGAGAGCTGTAGGGTTGGTGAACATGTGGAAAGAGGGGAGGGAAAGTGACATTCTAGGAGAGAGCTGGAAACTCCATACCCTTTTCTCATACCTTCCTATGCATATTTTCCATCTGTCTTATTTTCAGACTACAAGAGATACTCTACACTTGTTACTGAATTATATCCTTTTATATAAATGTAATCTAGTGAGTCAATGGCTTTTCTAAATTTTGCGAGCCAGCCAAAAATTACTGGAACGCAAGGAGGGGGTCACAGGAACCTCTCATTTATAGTCTGTCAGAAGCACAGGTAACAACATGGACTTGCAATTAGTGTCTGAAGCAGGTAGAGGAGGAGAGGCAATCCTTTGGGACTGTGAGCTTACCCTATGGAATCTGATACTATTTCTGGATAGATAGTGTCAGATTGGGTTGAATTCTCAGACACCCTGCTGATGTCCAAGAGTTGCTTGTTGGTTTGGGAATGTGCCCTGTCCCTCATCCCCCACATTGGATTGGGTGCAGAACCCCAAATAATTTTGTTGATAGTTTCCTTTGTTGTGCAGAAGCTTTTTAGTTTCATGCAAATATTCAAAGCAATACCTATTAAAATTGCAATGACATTTTTCACAGAAATAAAAAAAGGCCAGGAATAGTCAAAGCAATCTTGAGAAAGGTGGACAAAGCTGAAGACATCACATTTCCTGATTTCCAACTATATTACAAAGCTCTAGTAATAAAAACAGTATGGTACCAACACAAAAGAAAACAGACCTGTAGATCAATGGAACAGAATAGAGAGCCCAGAAAAAAACCCATGCTTAGATGGTCAACTGATCTTCAACAGGAACACCAAGAACATATGATGGGGAAAGAATAGTCTCTTCCATAAGTAGTGTTGGGAAAACTGGATAGCCACATGCAAAAGAAGGAAACTGGACCCCTATTTCATACCACTCCTAAAAAGTAACTTCAAATGGATTAAAGACATTGTAAAATGCTATAAGCCCTGAAACCATAAAACTCTTGGAAGAAAATAGGGACCAGCTGCTTGACTTTGATCTTCACAGTGCTTTTTTGGACATAACACCCAAAGGCAGGCAACAAAAGCAAAATTAAGCAGGGGGATTACATCAAAATTGTGACAGCTATTATTGTAACTTGACATTTTACAAAAGAGGTTGGAAACCTGAAAGTCAGAAGCCTTCAAAATATTACCCTGGGCTTTTCCTCAGAAATTAAGGAATTTAGTTCCAAGGAGGTTCATGCCTATAGGAAAGTCCTTGAAGCCAGTTGTATAGTTAGCTAGTATAATAAGAGAAGATGCTCGAAGGAAAATGTGTTATTCCTCAATAACAAGGAAATGCTATCAGAGTTCAAAGTGACTTGTTCTTTTTCTTTTTTTATATAATTTTTTTTATTTCAGAGAGGAATGGAGAGAGTGAGAGAGATAGAAACATCAATGATGAGAGAAAATCATTGATCGGCTGCCTCCTGCCCACCCCCTACTGGGGATCAAGCCTGCAATAGAGCATGTGCCCTTGGCCGGAACTGAATCCAGGACCCGTCAGTCCACAGGCCGACACTCTATCCACTGAGCAACACCGGCTAGGGCCAAAGTAACTTGTCCTTATTAATGTTAGAGTACAATGTAGAATACCAGGACACTGTAAAAAAGCATTGCAATTCCATGGTCATTTTTCCTAAAAAGTTATTTGAAATAATGGCAGTACTGAATTTAAGCACATTTGACGGGTCTGAATATTTTATAGGTTTATGACATGGTTCTCAAAAATCTGCTCATGACTCATTAAAAAGTGTAGAGTATCTCTTGTAGTCTGAAAATAAGACAGATTTGAAAGAGGGCAGAGCATTTCAAAATAATAAAGCTATCTTTTAAAATTATAGTACTTAACCTGGCCACAGTGGCTCAGTGGTTGAACATCAACCTATGAACCAGTGGATAGAACACTGGCCTGTGGACTGAAGGGTCCCAGGTTCAATTCTAGTCAAGGGCACATGCCCAGATTGCAGTCTTGATCCCCAGTGCGGGTGTGCAGGAGGCAGCCGATCAATGATTGTCTCTACTCATTGATGTTTCTATCTCTCTCTCCCACTCCCTTCCTCTCTGAGATCAATAAAGACATATTTTAAAAAGAACTTATATTATTTAAGTTTGAGCCATTGAAGAAAAATGTCAAGCAAGTAATAGTATAGATGGTATGCCAACCTGGCAAAACTGCAGATGTCATGACAAAATGCCTAAAGTTCAGGAAACAACATGTGACATAGTGGTTTGGGTCAATAAATTATATGCAGATGGATAAATAAGTGGAACAAATCGATCTCTCTCTCTCTCTCTCTCTCTCTCTTTCTCTCTCCCTCTCCCTCCTGTCCCTCTAAAATCAATAAATAAATAAAAATTAACACAAAACAAAAATAAATGCTGTGGTGACAGTAGTCAAATAGAAGTTTATACAGCATTACACAATGCAATATATCAATGCATGCTATCCGTAATAGCAGCTCTGGATCAAATGCATGTTCTTCGAAGTCCTACAGACCAGGGCCACATGGTTCCTGACAGCCAGCCTCCCTGGGTCCCGGCTTCCTTGTCATCCTGCACACCATCATACACTTGTGTACTAAGAGGAATGTGGAGCGCAGTGCCTTATCTGCTCCATTCTGAGCAGCTTTTCAAAGGGAAAAAAATACACGACACAGATTACAAAACATTATTTCAGAAATGTTTGTGTGAAAAATTGCCGTAGAGTAAACACTGTAATATTGAATAAGTACTCTTCATGTTTTTTTTTAAATTTTTATTCTGTCACTACCTTGAGGATTAGGAGAAGAAGCAAAATGTTAAAAACTTAAATCTTAATGGCCTGCTAATATTGTCCATCTCTCTCTGTAATAGCAAATGTGATGTACTGATCCAAGAAGCTTTGAGTATTCCGGTTAGTTGCATAGAGCATCAGATTCCCTGCTTAAACTTGTTTTCTTTGAGGACAGAAGTGATATTTTAGTATTTCAGGGACTGTTATACTGTGTTCAGGAGATACCCAATAAGATTTTCACAGGTAGATTCTTGGAATGCATGGAACATTGAGCAAGTAAGGAACAGTGCTCCAGGCAGCACTTACCTCTTCTGCGTATGTGACAGTGAAGGGACAGTGAAGGGAGTGGCTGTGAGCTAAATAATCTCCCTGGGACAGAGAGCCTTCTGGGGGATGGTAGAACACAGGGCTGATTATTTCAGGAGAGTTCAACGCATAATATTCAGACATTCCATTCCATGACCATTGTCATTGCTTCCCCATGAAATAGCAACCTTACATAGAAGAGACCAGTGCTCCAAATTAATAATGGTAATTCCTTACTTTTATTCAGTTTGTTTTTTTATTCCTTTTCCCTTGTTAAAAATGCAGGAAGAAACTAAGATAAACCTCCTCCCGTGAGCCTCCTTCCCCTCAAACATGAGTAGTCTCACAAACCTTTCTCTGAATTCCTAAAAATATGTGATTGGTTAACCTGCCTTCAAGTGCCGTCAACACGCTAAATAGGCAACAGAGCTCAGAGTGCATGAAAGCTCCTGAGCAATCATAGGAAAACTGAAAAGCTTAAGGAGATGGGCTATTATGGAAACCAGTTGATTGGCATGTGCCTCCAGAGGCCTGGGGGCCACTCAGAGGAGACGAAATCACAACTGCACCTTAAATCGTGACCAGAGGAGGAGTTGAAGGGTTTGCTCTAATAAGCAGCCAGAGCCTCTGGCGGGATGCCTCACGACATAAATTTTCCAAGTCCTTTGGGTGGAACACAACTGCACTCCAACATCCTGCCTACAAATGCTAAATAAATACGAAGTTCACGTCAGACTAGAGAACCAACGTACTAACTAATGTCATTTGAGGGATCAGAATGCTTTCATTATTTTCGCTTGATAATTCACATCCAAAATAACTGAAGTTGACACACCCAGATGAATATATCTCCTTTGTACAAATGTTCAAAGGGATAGCTTGGGTGGTCACATGTTCCTTAAGAGCAATTGCATTCAGCTTGGATTATATCTACTAAAATAGAAAAGCTTTTATTTTAGATGTAGGAGGTAGGGCAGGGATTGGTCTTCACAATAAGAGATGTTAAGGTGAAATGGTGTGAGCTTCATGTCTCACTGAAGAGCTTACTTAAGAATTAGCAGACCCAGGGTCTTGGTGTATAGAAATCAATGAAGTTTGCATATGATTTTCAAAAAGAAATAAGGTTTTGAGGACATTGTGCAAGGGAACAGGCTTAGTACATGTAGCCACTTGTCCAGCAATAATGCATTAAGTTTTTCTGGTTAAACATTCTGGCACAACCTGATGCCATGATGCCTGCTACAATGGTGACTTTTTAAGAGTCAATTTGCATCTCTGCAACCAGCCCCTAAGCAAGGCATTTCATTAACTGCGCTCCACATGTACCGCTGCTAAACCCTCAAGCTCTCTCAACTTTGCTCTGACAAAGAATTTGAGTTTTGAGTACAGGACTTTGAGAAAATGACTTTTTTTTTTTTTTTTTTTTTTTGTTTGTTTTTGCAAGAGGGTAATTAACAAACAACTCCATGCAAAGGGGTGTGTTCCTTGTAAAGGTGCTCAGTGATTCTTACGCTGAATAACACAGACACCTCATTTCCCAGAGGAGGAAATGGGTTTATACGTTTTGAGAGGTCTGCTTGGCTGGCTTACAGTCCTGGTCTCTGGGCTGGTCTGTCCCTTGGCTTTGTAAGTTTCAGCAATTCAGGAGAAGGCGGGGCTGGACGCTCTGGTTGGGTGTTGTGTTTTGGTTTTTTTTTCCTCTCTCACTTCCCTGCGGTGTTTTGAACTGCCTTCCTACAGACGTCATACAAGCCTTGAAGAATAGTTTCTTCCTGGCGAGATTGAATGATAGTCCTCATTCACAAAGGCTTGGAGTCAGATTCCAAGCGGGGGACAACAACGACTGAAATTACACTCGCAGGTAAAGCCGCGGGCCCAGCAGAGAAGAGCTCTGTTCCCCGGCTGGCTTCTTGGCTCCCCGGGGAGGAGTGTTTTCCTGTGGTCGCGCTGAAATGGAACTTCCCTGACAGCTCTCCCGTGTTAGCGGGCTTGGCGGTGACTTTCTTTTCCTTTCACTCTACCTGGGTACTTTGAGACTGGTGGGGAACTTTAAGCCTGTGATTATGGATTTGCAAAAAAAGACAAGATCGAGTGGCTCTTTTACTGTGTGGGTTTCCCTTGTGACCAGATGAAGAATAGATTCAAACTTCAGTTCCTCCCTTGGCAATGCAAACAGAAAAAAGAACTGTCACTTCCGAACAGCCAAGTGCTGGAGTGAATTCAGTAAGAAAGAGGGAAGGACTCCGGTGTCTTAGCAGCTTCCTTATGTTCCGGACTCTGGGCAGGAGCTGGGCTCCGGGAACCCTGGATTTCTTCAAACAGCCTCCCTGGAAAGTGGAATATATTTGTGGAAGGACAACTGAACTGTATTAATCAGAAGACTTTCCTCCTTTTTTCTCTCCCAAAATGAGTATTATTATGAAGCCAAGGTCCCGGTCTACAAGCTCCCTGAAGACTACAGAGGCAGTTTGGTAACATGCTTTTCTCTCATCTCTCCCAGCCTTCCCTTTTCAGATTGACGTAATACTTGAGTATTTAGTAATTGCTGACGAGGTTCGAGAATTAGGTTTGATGTGAAGGCTGTGTGAGAAAGAGCATGGTGTCGGTGACCGTTTTGTTCTCCCCTTTGTGTCTAATTTGTCCGGCTCTAAACACAGGGGTGCTCATATTTTTAACTCCATGTGGACTAGAGCGATTCATCTGGTGGTAGTTTTGAGAGGAGGAAAGAAACTTGCAAATATGTTGGAAGTTTAGAAATGAAAACTTATTTTCACTGTCTGATTTGGTTGCTTAATTTCTCACCTTTCTTGAAAGCAGTTTGGTAGTTTGACAGTCTTTGTCATTCTCTTTAGAAATGATACCTTGGCTTTTAGCACAGTTGTGAAATTAAGTTAGAGAGATTAATAATGTTATATATTTTAATCATATGACCAACCCAAATTTAACAATGTGGCTCAATACATATCAAGTTGCTTATGTTTTATTTTGTCAATAATATTTCCTGGTAACTATGTGTTTCTGATCATTTTAGTATTTTCACCTTAATGAAAAAAAGTATATTAATTTCAACATATTCTAATATTTTATGGTTTCCCCTATATTGACCTGATATGCTTGTAAGCATATGGCCCTTAGGGAATATTTTTTCAACAAAGTAACTTTTGTGTCTAAAATAGCTATTTACAGAATACTTTTATGGCTATTTCAACAGTTAAACGTACGTTATCTTAGTAATTGTAAATAACTAAGATTACCTCTTTGAAGTGGAAGTAATCTTGCTTCAGATGGGGGAAATAAAAGCAGTGGGTGAGGGCAGGTGGTTGGGGATAAGATGGAAGCAGAAGCAAAGTATTATATATTTTATGAACAGGCAAACACACATATAAATGCTCAAAATTTTTGCATAAGGAATTTAGCACAGACTTATGTGGTTACTGTACTAGTGTTTTACAGTGGCTTAGAATCAAGAATTGTCCCTTCAATCGTATTTCTGTGAGTTTTAATAAATTATAGATGTAGATTTTGTCTCTTAAGTCAGTTATGATTCCTTATAAACGAGTAGATGTAATAGGTCCTCCTTGAGTTTAGAGTTTATTTAAAGAAAAGTGTGTATGGTTCTTTTATGTCAAGCAATAAATACTGGGAAATACTTAGAAACATTATATTCATTACCATATAGTATAACTCTCTAACATAAATGGGTAATCAAAATTTATAAAATAAATGAATTTTACTCATTTGTGATTTCTATCCTGCCTGTGTGAAAACAGGATTGGATGCTTGAATAAACAGTATTTAACCAACCTATTTTTCTTTTTGCCTAAAGTGTTGGAAGACTAATTTCTAAATTCAGTGTTCAATGGGCAATAATTAGTCCACTTCAAGAGACTAGTAATATTGACATCCTCTACTCCTCTGAGATTGTCATAGTCCATTTTTATCCACAACTATTCTACTTTGTTATTCCAAATTGTGTAAGCTATTTTCATAAATAAATAGGGCCAAAATTTACAATATATTTTTTAAATATTGATTTGTGAATATGTATATTGTTATATCTAATTTTATATATTTTGTGTAGTTTGGGGTCAAAATGTTTTTTATGTAAGAAATAAATGTCTCTTTATGCTAATGATTTCTAGATTTAACTGTATACTACAGAAACCTCTCCCATTGTTAATCTTACATGTGCCTTATAAATAATATAATGGATTGGGCATATCACTGCTGCCTCTAAATTGTCTGGCCTGTGGTTATAATTGCTGTAATTACAGTTTTACCATTTTATTATCTCTTGTATCATTCAAATACTTTATACACATTTATTTATTTATATTTATAGTAAAATCTATATAGATGATAGGTTAGGAAAAAAGGGGAAATATATATGTGTGTATGAATTCATATATATGTGTGTATGTGTGTGTGTGTGTGTATATATATATATATATATATATATATATATATATATTCAATAAAAACAAATAAAAGTAGCCCTGTCTCTCTCTGTGCCTCTGCACAGACAGGACCCAGAAAGCTCATGGGACAATGACTTCTCCTGACTACTTTTTCTGTTTTAACTTCTCTACTACCCATTTCCCCCAACCTCCATTTCTTTTCAAATGCCAAAATCTGCTTCATCCTTTTAACAGTTGACTTCCCATGAGGGAGACCTGCTGATTTGCCATTTATTCCCTTACCCAATGAGTTAATTTCATTTTGGACTTTAGAATACTTTGGGACCTATCTTTTGGCTTTAACATCTTAATTCATCTTATATAAATCTATTTTCTGTTCCATCGACCCACTTTCTCCAAAACTGTCTACTTGCCTCCAAGCCAGATGCTACCTTTGGAAGTGTGCTCACCGGCTTCTGGAAGGATGCAATGCTTTAGATTAGTTTTCCTTTACTTTTTCCTATCTGCATCTCTTCAATCAATATCAGAAGAAATCAATCCACACTAACTTATTTACAGCCCTGATTAAATCCCTATAAAGTTATGATTTTTAATCACTTTAAAACTGTCTACCTTGTGACTATATCTAAATGCATTCAAATGTTTGTTTAGATATTGAGTGATTGAAGAAATAAATTGGAGCTGTTGTTTTAGAGGTCTGATTGCCTACGAAGTTTACGGCTGATGTTGGTTGTTAAACATGGCTGTTTGATAGACTTGTAGTTTTAGCCTCTAGGCCAGTGTGTTCGCTACTGGTAGAAAATAAGGTCATCTGTTCCTGTTATAGAGAAATAAAGAGCAAAAGGTCAGTGCCTCCCAGTTTTGAATAGATCATCTTTCCAGTTATATTGGTTAGCAAGTTTAACTTTGTTCTCTGCAAGCTCTGTAAGGCTTTGTATTAGGTTTCATCGGGTTTTAAGTCACCTTTGAAACATATTCTATCCTGTATGTTTCGTCTTAGAGGCTTTTGTAAAGGGGAAAATGGAATTTGCATGCTTTCAGCCTATCCAATATACATTGTGACTTTCTTAGGAAAGTGACTGCTTTCAAGGTTGGGTCAGAGTTTTTACCATGTGATGAATTTTTTCTTTTCTTATTACCTAAGTTTGTATCACAGCTGTTACATAACAGACCTAGAGTTGCATAGTGTTTAGGAGAAGTGATTAAGATACCTTGAGAATTTAAAATATAACTCGGGAAGCACAGAGTGGATTTCAGGTAGTTATACTCTTTAAAGTTGTAAATTATGAGATTCCCCTGAAAAAGCCCTTTGTCCACCCTACTTCCAACTTGCTGTGTCGGAGGCCACCCAGTCTCTCTATAGCCAGGTCTATTCTCCTGTAAAATAAAGGAGGTGACACAGATCTGTGAACTTCAAACATGTTTTTTCAATGGAGTACTTTCCACAAATGAAATGCTAATATAAATGACTATATATGAAAGACTTAAAATTATCTGTATACCTGATATAATGATAATTTTAAACATGCACATGTATGAAATATGTAAGTAAAAATATAACAATAAAACAGCCACTGAGTTTGCACCTTTACCCCCACCCCATTTCTATCCTTGCAGTACCTCTAAGAGCCCTAGGCTTCCAAAGAACACTGTTTGGAAAACACTAAGCTAATAAACTACGAAGATCCTGTATAGTTCTATGTTCTGTAGTGCTACCCTCCTGCTGGAGAGTCTTGTGTTTTCTGTATTCCTATGGGGACTGTGACATATTTGCTGCTACTTAAATTTCCTGGGAAATGCAAATAACAATAGTCCAAATACTTCTACTTTGAAAGATTTTAAAGTGATGGGCAATTTTCATTTATAAGAAATCACAAAAGAGTTGTATCAATTAAGATACATTAATTTTAAAACAAGCTACATTAATTTTACTTTCTCATGTTTTATGAATTTGTTTTATGCTTATTTTAGGTGGGAAAATCTTCACTCATTAAGTACTGTATGCACAGCTGACATGTCAGCAATTCAGTATGGCGGTTGGTAAAGAAATGCTGAACTGGTATTGTGTTCTTTAAAAAAAGGAGGGGATTTCTTTAGTTTGGATATTTCGAAATGGGATTATCAGCCTTTTTTGTTTCATATCATGTCAATGGTGAATAAAGTTTGTAGAACATTGCCCCATGCAACATTCCTTGGTAGCATTGCACTGTACAAACTAACATGAATAAAACTGACTGTTGTTATGTGTGTGCAACACATAGTCCTACCTGTAACTTCCCCATTGATCTGAGGCCTACCATGGTTTTGGTCCCATCACTAAAACTTGCCTTTCAGGAGAGGTAAAAAAATAGCTCACTTATTATTCCCTCTATCAGTCATTCCAATCATATAGTGAATTTAATTAAATCAGAAAGAATGAGGACATGAATGTAATCATGGGTATAGGAATCGTTAGTCATGGATCCATCCAACTGTCAAAGCAAGATTGAGAAAAGTAGATTATAAAATGAAACAAAAGAGGGAAAATGTTAATGAGGTCTTCAAGGATATTTCCCTTAGGGAGAGACGCCTGGAAGATCTGTATAGATCAGGGGTGGGCTAACTTTTTGACTCAAAGGCCACAATGGGTTCTTAAACTGGACCGGAGGGCCGGAACAAAAGCATGGATGGAGTGTTTATGTGAACTAATATAAATTCAAAGTAAACATCATTACATAAAAGGGTACGGTCTTTTTTTTCAATAGTTTTATTCATTTCAAACGGGCCCGGCCCGCAGGCCATAGTTTGCCCACGGCTGGTATAGATATTCTGAGTAATAATTATTATTAAACATATGGAATTGGTAAAGCATGGATAAAGGTAACACGAATGAGACCTGGAGGCATTTAACTAGGTTGATGAGGAATAGAGTCACAAAAAAAGCAGAGTCTTAATTTAAAAACTGTGTAGATTTTCTTAGGAGCCCTTCCAGAGATTATCCAAGTTCTCAAGAAGTCAAGCAGAGGTTGAAGATATATTAGAAAATGGTTAATAGAAGTAAGGTGTCCTCTAGC